GAGAGAGAGAGAGAGAGATGAAAAGAAAAGATGATGAATGGAGTTAAAAACAGACCAACACCAGGTTGCCCGATGTGAAGTTTCCATTTACATTAAAAAAATTACTCCAGTTTGACAAGGGCAGGAAATATGGGGGCAACATGCTGCACAAAGCTCATATTGAAGATCCAGCAGTGAGCTGAGATATTAACCCAGATACTGCATCCATGACGGCTACTGAGCTATTCAGAGATTTGCTGAAACCACTGTCATCTGACATGATGATGCATATTGGATTATTACAAAAGTAACTACTGATGTCAGATACACATCAGCTCCAACAGACAGAAAAGACTGTGTGTTTGTGGGCTTATCAGCAGAACACAGGACAAAGCCACAGATTGTAATCGTTCATTGCTGTGTGAGTGGGCCTCTCAGTATTTATGTGTGTATGACCTCAAATTCCTGCTGCTTCTAAGGAACTATCCTCAGTTAGTCAGTTAGTTATCTCTTTGCAGGTTATTGGTCTGACGCCCAGATGGGCTGGTTTGTGACCGAGGACAAACTATGGACAGTTGAGAAGACAAACAATTTTCCAAGAACTTATTTGTGCGTAACTGTACTGCAGTACCTTGTTCTTGTCTTGTGTGTCAACTTCTCCAGGTCCAATGTGTTTGAGGAGCAGGGCGAGGGCTTTTGGGGAGGGGTGTCGGGTGGCCAGGTGGAGCGGGGTCATCTCCTCTAAATCTTTTTGCAGCCAGTTAGCACGCCGGGACAGCAGCAGCTTCAGGAAACGTAGATTCCCCTGCGACACACAAACAGCCGCGGTAAAGGTAAAATTAACTCAGAAATCACCAATTCTCTTCAATATTAGTCATGAACCAGCAGCAATGACACACACACTCCCACACACACTGATTCCCCAAGCTTTTAGCTGTGTCTGGTTCAATCTGCAGGTCATCCATCTTCGTTCGCTCCTCCTGCCTCTCGGTTAAGCGTCCGTGATGAGCTGTTAAACAGTAAACAGTGTTTCTATGGCCTGACAGAGCAGCCGCTCCGTCATCCCTTCCACATCATGTTCATCATCATCATCATCATCATCCTAAAGTTTGGTCTTAGTCTCTCACCACCGGGCCGCTGGGCGATGTATTGTGCAACGGCGTTCAGCAGGCATGACCGTGTACACGTGCGTTTTGTATATTTGCCATCCTGTGACCACAAAGCCACAGACTGACAGATCTATCTTGTGTGTGAGCATGCATCTAGACTGTGAGTGTGTGTGTGTGTGTGTTCCCGTCTTCCCTATTCTCAGTCCAATTAGATCGGTAATCCCTGGCCTCTTTCCCTGTCTCAGCCATTTATTGATCAGATGTCAAAGAGACAGGGCTTCCCATCACTAGCATCCCCCAACACACACACACACTACACACACATGTCACACTCCCCATTTATGAGACAGACCTCAACAACCTATTACCTCCCTCTTTCTTTAATGATATGATGATCCTGTATCAGTACACTCCCATTAAAGATGGGCACCAACAAATAGAGAGATGTATTTTGATGTTTAGGACGACTGGAAGACTTTTAATGGGGATCCTTAAATAAACAATAAACTGACATATAAAGAGATATAATTAGTACCACAGCCAACCGTTCCCCTGCTAAACCCCTCCAGAGAGGACACACCACCCTGTCTGGAGGTGTTCTCATTATCATTGCCTCCTCTGACTGTCCCTCAGTGTATACTGAAAAAAGAACATTGTGAAGTAAAAGGAACATTATGCTCCTCTGCTTGCATAGGTTTCACTTACTCCATGCAGAATAATTCTTTATTTAAAAGAGTGTGTGTAAGCGAAACTAACAGCTATAATGTCTGTGTGGCAGGATTATAAATCAGTTGATGCCCCCCCCAACCATCACAAGCCCTAAGGCCATAACTACAGCCACTAGGGGGCACTGGCTTCCCACTGTAGCTTATGTACTGTCAAACTTTCTTCTCTGTGAGATCAACATATTTATTCCACCTTTATAAATCCATCCACTTATCAATTGTTGTGAATTAACTTTGTCAACTTAGTGCGTCAAAACGAGCTGACACATGTGTAACAGTCAAAAAACTGTTGTGTGTGCTCCAGTTTTCTATGTCTATGTATTCGTGGATGTCCATACCTTCTGCGCGGCGAGGTGCAGAGCAGTGCGCTGGCTGTGGTCAGTCTTGTTGACCGAGGCTCCTGCCTTCAACAAAATCTCTGCACAGTCCAGGCGGTCAGCCAGCACACAGTACATCAAAGGGGTCCGGCCAAACTGGTCCTCACGGTCCCGCAGCGAGGGATCTGCTACATTATACCAACACATATAAGAGAAGCACAGTTGAAGGTTTAAGCCAGAGGGTAATAGAGAAGATTTGGGTCAATATGCGTTGAATTTTCAGTTCAACATATAAAAAGAAAGTACAATTATGTGGCTTATGATGGAATATGTTATAAACTGTTTTTAAAAGGCAACTCCTTTTACTGCTTCAGTTTAATAGGAATTCCACTTCCACTTTTCTAAATAAGTCAGAGCAGCTGGAAGTCATAAGTAAATACTGTAACACTGGTAACCTAGAGGGCCACGTTGCCTCCTTACGAACAGTAAGATAATTTGCATTAATCATTCGATGCCCTTCATATATTTAATGCCAGATCTTTGTATTCTATGCTTGAGCAAGACTCAATTTTCAGCATATTCAAATTTGAATATCTAGATGATGTCAGCTGTTTTGTAGAAGGGTGGACCATCCTTAGGCAGATGGATATCGGCTCTGCTTGCTGTACGAAACCCAAAACTCCTATACACTGCTGCAGCTGACCCTGCATGCTGACCTCTCAACAGATGTGGCGAATGCAAACAAAAAGTGCCTTAAACAAATCAATAAAGCAGTACATTACTACATATTAATGTGAACTGTACACCTGGTGGTGGTTTCAAATTCAGCAAAGATGTAGTGAATAAACCTGAGTGCTACTTGCCTGTGATGAGTTTGTGGAGGGCGCTCCTATCTCCATTGACAGCTGCAGCATGAACCTGCGAGCCCAGAGACGCAGGTCCTGGGCTAGACGTCGCTGAGGCCTGCAACAAAAACAGATAGAAGGTCATAATTCAACCTGCAGCAACATACACTCAGCTTACTTATCAAGTGTTAAATACTGTGACATTAAGCTGAGTCTAGACAGTTTCCTTACCATTCATGTAGCTGCCAGCACACCCCACAACTGGACATAGTTACATTTAAGGAGTTCATGCATAATACCATATTATCCGCTATAATAAGCCATGTTTAAATAGCTCCTACTAAAAAGGTGAAACTGGGAATCTCAAAATCACTTCCAGTCACCACATAAAACATAAAAAAAATATTAGTGAACTGCCATGTCCACAGACACCATTCACATTTTTTAATAGTTACAATTTAGTTTACATGTATACCTCAAGCTCAAGCTGTTAGTTCAAGCTCTTCTGTCGCCTAAATTAATTGATAGAGCCATAGAGGAGCAAACGTGAAAGCATTATCCTTAAACATTGATCATATTTCAGGCAGATAACAAACACATGAAGCTCTGTTGGCAGTCAACCACACAATAAAACAGATACTTTCCGATGTTTGTTTACAGTAGGGAGTGTGTTTGTGTGTGTGT